AACCATGATTTTTTTTTTTTTTTTTTTTTTGTGGTATTGGGGTTTGAACTTAGGGCCTGTATCTTGAGCTACTCTACCAGCCCTTTTTTGTGATGGGTTTTTTTCAAGATAGGGTCTTGTGAACTATTTGCCTGGGTCTGGCTTCAAACCATGATCCTCCTGATCTCTGCCTCCTGAATAGCTAGGATTTACAGGTGTGAGCCACCAGCACCTGGCTAAACCATGATCTCTTTTGTGCTCTCTGCCTCCACCTGCCTCTCTGCTGACTTCCCAGGTGGCAGAGATGGTTTGTGTGATGCCAGCTCAGTCACCCTGGTGGGAGGGGAGCTTCTGTTTCTTGCAAGTTCATCCAGAGTTCTGGACTGAATGCTAGTTGGGTCAACTTGGACCATGTGCCACCCTGAACCAATCATATCACTGATTCATCTAGCTTTGTCACAGCTTTGCACTGGGCACTGGGGAAGGGCTCTCCCCGCAAAACTGCATGACCGGAGAGAGGGGAGTGACTTCTCAAAGGAAATCAAAGAGTTCTCCCTGAAAGAAGGGGGCTTAAGCAGAACAGCCTAACAATGATGTGTACCCAGCCAGGTGGGACAGGCTTCAGTGTCCAACTCAGGGGTTGAACTTGCTCACATGGATGGTGGCAGCCACATGTGTCCGTCCATACACCCTGCTCTGTGGATTAGTGTCCAGTGTCCAGGGCCATGAGCTGGCTTCTCTTCCTCCTCCAGGAGAGCCTGCAGATGTATCTGAAGAGCACCCAAGGGCCCATCGAAGTCTACCTGTGCCCAGAAGAGGTGCAGGAACCCGACACTCCTACCAACGAACCCCTCCCGTCCACCTCCGCCTTTAGCCCCAACCCTGACTGTGCCCAGCCCAATGTCAGCACTGACCATGGGATCATGGAGCCCGAAGGATCCTCAGGTAGGCCCTCTGTCCGGAGGGACAGGAGGTGAGGAGAGTGTCTGGCCTTAGTTTCTCCTTCTACATCTGTGTTTATTGGATATTTACCGTCCTCTCATCCTGTCCAGCTAGGGGTACAGTCTGTAGGGGCCCTCTGTGCTTTATGACGCCTGTGTGTACCTGTCTCACTGTGGAGCCGATGCTGCTCCATGGGCAGAGGACTTGAATCCTACCTCAGCCACTTACCAGCTCTGTGTCCTTGGACAAGTTACTTGACTTCTCTTTGCTTCAATGTCTTCAACTGTAATGGGCAGAGTAATTAATAGCTAACTCTGGGGTTATTGTGAGGATCTGAGAGTTTCCATGAGAGCACTTGGCCTGGTGACAGCTGTTGACTATTGTCCTTCCTACTGCTACTAACAGTAGTACCACTATTGCTGTGGGGACTGGTCACAGCTAAGCCCCTGGCAGGTCCTCAGCAAGTGACAGAGAAACAGTTTCCTGAAGAGGGCCTGAAACTCGGGAGATAGAAACTAGGCTTTCTACACCATGACTCTCCCAGATACTCCATCACCACATTTCTCCTCATAGCCCTTCTTGAGGTAGATCTTATTAGAGATAAAGAAGCTGAGGCGGAGAAGTGATGTGACTTGCCCAAGGTCTCACAGCTGCGTCTTTACCTTGGTCTACACTCTCCAGGTGCTCTGTCTGCAACCTCAGAGCAAACAAGGAAGGGCTCCTGTTATGTTTTGTTTTTTCTGGTGGCACTGGGGTTTGAACTCAGGGCCTCACACTTGCTAGGCAGGTGCTTTTACCACTAGCCACTCTTACAGCCCCACTTTTTTTTTTTTTTGTGGCAGCAGAATTCCCTTAAGTAGAGCCCTAGGGTTCAAACACAGGCAGAGCTAGCAATGTTTGGGTGGTGGGGTCTGTAGAACATGGGTTGGATTCCATTTCTCTGACTCAAAGATGCTCTTGCCTGCTGGCCAAATCTGGACTGTTTTTATATGGCCCATAAACTAAGAATGGTTTTTGCTTTTTGGTTTTGTTTTTATTTAGTGGTGCTGGGGATAAACCCTGCATACACATGAAGTAAGCACTTTTCCACTGACCTATGCTTTTTAGTTTTTCTGTCCTTTCTCCTCTCCCCCCGGCTAGTTTTAGGGATTGAACCCAGAGCCTTGCACTTGCTAGGCAAGCACTCTACTACTTGAGCCATACCCGCAGCCCTTTCTGTTTGTATTTTTTTTTTTTTGGCATTTTTTTTATTGTTGTGTTGTGTGAGGGTACATTGTGGCATTTACGGAAGTTCTTACAACATAGCACAGTTGAATTCACCCTGTCCACCATTCTCCTTTATCCCCGCCTCCCCCCATTCCTGGAATAGTTTCAACATACTGTTTTTCCATTTACATACATGTGTACACAATATTTGCACCGTATTCACCCTCCTTTACCATTTTTCCACCTCCTCCCCCCTCCCACCGGTACCAACCTCCCCAAGCAGGACCTGTTCCACCCTCTTGTTCTCTGACTTTTTTTTTTTTTTTTGCAGTACTGGGGTTTGAACGCAGGGCCTACACTTTGAGCAACTCCACCAGCCCTTTTTTGTGATGGATTTTTTCGAGATAGGGTCTCACGATCCTCCTGATCTCTGCCTCCTGAGTAACTGGGATTACTGGCATGAGCCACCACTGCCTGGCCTGTTCTCCAATTTTGTATAAGAAAAAAAGAAGAAGCTATTTCTTTTGAAATAGGGTCTCACTAACTTTGCCTTGAAGCTGGCCTCAAAGTCGTTGTCCTCTTGCCTCCAACTCCCAAGTAGTTGGAATTACAGGTGCTGCTCATCACACCCGGCTGGCTTTTACGTTTTTAAGGAGTTAGGGAGGAGCAAGTCCCACAAAGCCTTAACTGCTGCCCAGCACTTTATAGAAGTTTGCTGACCTTGATCTAATTCAACCCTTCATTTCACATGTGAATAAAGTAATGCCCAGAGGGGGCAAGTGGCTTCCTTAAGGTCACACAGCCAGTTCATGGCAGAGCTCAGACAAGAGCACAACTTTCCAAGTCTTTTTTTTGGGAGGAGGTGCAAGGGCCTTGCACTTGGTAGGCAAACACTTTACCGCTTGATCTTTGTCCCTAGCCATTTTGTTTTTGTTTTGTTTTTAGACAGAGTCTGAAACAAGGCCTGGCTGGCCTTGAACTCTCGATCCTCCTGTCTTTGCCTCCTGAGTAGCTGAGATTACAGACATGCACCATCACGCCTGGCTTCCAGCTCTTCTCTATTATCTTCTCTGTATTTGTTGGCTTCTTCCAGGGATCAAGGCTCTTCTGTATGCTAGCCATCTGTCCCTCTGGGCACCTCCTTGGTGCCTATCTGCTACTGCAGGCCTGTGCCCCACCCTGTTGTTCCTCCCAATGCTGCTGTTTTTCCTCTCAGCTGTGAACATGTGCACAACTCTCCAAAGTTAGAGCCACCTTCACTTCACTTGTCCTCTGAAATCTCGGGTGGAGGTGATGGACCACATGGTGTAAACAAGAAAAAAGTTTGACCTCAGCTTTGCCGGTCAGGACCTGACCATCACGGGGTTGGAGCATAGCTCAGATGGACACTTACAGAGCATGAACAAGGCCCTGGGTTCCATCCCCAGCACCAAAAACAAAAACCAAAACCCCTGAGGCCCAGAGAGGAGTAGAGGCTCGCAGAACAGTCGTGTTTGCTGCTGTCATGCCACGCCCACCCTCCACCCTGCCAGGAGGAGGAGGGTGTCCTGAAGATACACACACCACACACACACACACACCACACACACACACACACACACGCGTGCGCGGTTCATATTCTGGCCTGAAGTGGAGTCATTTTGAGGCATGAGCTCCAGAGGCCAGGCTCAATGTGAAGGCCACTGCAGTCTTGGGACCTGGGAATTCACCAGGGGAATTGCTAACCTTTGTAGCCTCAGTTTCCCCATCTGTAATAGAAGGGGTATGATCAAGAGTTGCCTCTAACGCCTCTCCAGGCTCCAACATTCTGAGGAAAACCCAAATGTAGCTGATGTATAGGATTTGAAATTGGGGGCTTGGATTCAAGCCTGTATCTCATCTCTTAGTGACTTCTTGTTGACTGAGGGTGAGTCACTTTAACCGCTCTGAGCCTTGGTTTCTACATCTCTAAAGTGAGGACACTTAAGGTTCACTCGTAGCTGAGCAGGGTAGTGCACACCTGTAGTCCCAGCTGCTCAGGAGGCCAAGGATTGCTTGAGCCCAAGAGTTTGGGGCCAGCCTGAGTAACACAACCAGAACTGGTTTTAAAAAAAAAAAAAAGTCTCATGAGCATTGAACGGGTCATAGAAGCAAAGCCTGAGTGTGGTTTTGAAAACAGTTGATGTGAACTGAGCACCACCATGCAGAGACTGGTGTGGTTTGGGGGATAGAAAAACAGTAAGCCATTCAGAGTGTAGTGGGGACACAGATGTGACAAATGGCAATTCTGCTCTGGCCATGACCAGTGGCAGGAAAGAGGGCAGGGTCTGACCTGTGGTGGAGGTTTCTGCTGTATGACCTCAGTCACTACTTCCAGCAACTCGGGAGGTGGATCCTGCTTTTCTTGAGGAACTGAGGCACAAGCTGGTGAGAGGCAGGGCTGGGGTCTGAGCCTGCGTTCTTCTCGTTCCCAAGCCAGGCTTTTTGATGTAGCACCAGCAACATCGTTCTGGGCAAACATTAGATGTTGCGGTGCTGGGAATCGAACCCAAGGTCTTGTGCATACTAGGCAAATGCTGTCCCACTGAACTGAATGCTGTCCCTCAGCCCAAGACAGGCTCTTTTTGTAACCCAGCTTGGCCTTGAACTCACTATCCTCCTACCTTAGCCTCAAGTACTAGGATTATAGATGCCTTGCAACATTAGATTTTTTAAATTCAGATTTTTTTCTTTTGTGGTGGGACTGGGGTTGAAACTTAGGGCTTTGTGCTTGCAGAGCACGTGCTCACTTGAGCCATACCTCCAGTCCATTTTGTTCTGGTTATTTTGGAGATAGGGTCTCATGAACTATTTGCTCCAGCTGACATTGAACTGTGATCCTCCTGAACTCAGCCTCCCAAGTACCTAGGATTATAGGCAAGCCACCATCGCCTAGCTAAATTTAGATTTAATTGACTTTTTTGGGCCTCATTTCCCTCATCTGTGATTGAGGTGATCATTGCCTCCCTCTTGGCCACCTGAATGTATGAGGAGGCCAGCTGTACCTCGCCTTAGAGCAGAGCTGGCCCCTTAGCCCTAAGCTTAGGAATAAGGACAGCAACAGACCCCCAGCAGGGTTCCTGCAGACACACACTGATCATTCCTTCCTGTCAGCAGCCCTTTGAGGCAGACATCCCCTTCAGGGGTCAGGAAATGAAGGCTCAGAAACTTGAAGCCACTTGCCCATGGTTACCCAAGCAGTGAGAGCTAGGCCAGACAGCCTGCCTGCCAGTGCTGTTGTATTTTCAAAGCATGGCTTGGTTGGGGCTTAAGAAATGATGCAACTGGTGGAATTCTGAATCTTAGAATCTTCTGTCAGGCAGTTGCCAGTGCCTTGTTCCTGTGCCTGGGTAGGAAATGACCTTCTTTCCTCTGAGTGGATGTGACCTTGGTGTGCTGAGGGTTATAGTGTGGCTAGAGGGTAGAGTGTGAACTGTGGAGAAAGGCAGGAAGGGGCAGAGAGACAGGCAGGGGCCAGGGCATGCAAGGTCATTGCAACCCTGAGTGGAAACTGGATTTTATTCCAAGCCAGTGGGAAGCCGGAAGGTTCTTAAGTTAGAATGAAGACTGCAAGGGGCAGGAATCAAGCAAGGTGGCGGGGAGAAACTCCTGCTATGACCCAGGTGCGGACAGGCTAGGACCTGCACATCAGCAGTGGCACAGAAGAGTGGCTTCAAGCTTGGAGAGTGCCTTTGACTGTGGAGATGGCCAGTCTTGCTCCTGGAGTGGTTGTCAGGTTGGATGCAGTGAAGTAGAATTCTGGATTAGGTACTGAGGATGGTGGTTCATTCATTTCTTCCCAGGAAAGGGAGGCAGGGGTTCAGGGAAGACTAGGAGTTTGGTTTGATAACAAGTTCTGATACATTGTAGCTGTTTACAAAGAGAGGTTGCAGGACAGTCATGTTGGAGTCTGTCTAGGGCTCAGAGCCAAGGGCCATGCTACAGGTGTCCCATTGGGAGCAGCAGGTCACCTCCAGGGGGATTTAAAGCCACAGGGCCAGCTGAGATCACCTGGGGAGGAGCAACAGAAGGAAAGTAAGAAGACAGAGGCAGGGACTATAGGGGCTGAGAAGAGAGAAGAGGAGGGGAATCTAGCTGTGGAGACCTAGGGGAAGTGGCAAAACAGGAAAGGAAAGCCAGGAGGGTCTGTGTATGTGGAACCAAATAAAGAAGGTGTTTGAGGAGAAAAGGCACAACAGCTGTGTCATGTGATTCTGAGAGGCCAGTGGAGGCCAGAGAGGGTATGGTTCAGTGTAGAGCACTTGCCTAGTGTTCATGAAACCCAGGGTCCATCACCAGCACCCAGGGAAGGCAGGGAGAGATGAGGCTGGAGAACTGACCGATTTAGCCACATGGATTGGCTCAGTGGGAACAGACCCTCAAAGTTTTAGGAAAGTATACAATGAAAATAAGCAGTAAAAACAGGCCAGTAATTAGAGAGGGCCATGAGATCAGGTATAGAGTGTGTGTGTGTGCGTGTGTGTACTAAAGTACACATAACAAAATTTACCATCTTAACTATATTAAGTGTACATTTATTTCAGTGTTACTAGATACATTCATAACTCTGTACAACCATCACCATCATCTCCATAACTCTCTCTCCTGTAAACTGGCTCTATATTCACAGACATAGCTTCCCATTCCTCCCTCCCCCAGCCACTCTTTTTTTTTTTTTTTGCAGTACTGGGGTTTCAACTCAGGGTCTATACCTTGAGCCACTGAACCAGCCCTTTTTTGTGAAGGGTTTTTCAAGATAGGGTCTCACAAACTATTTCCCTGGGCTGGCCTCGAGCCTCAATCATCCTGATCTCTGTATCCTGAGTAGCTAGGATTACAGGCATGAGCTACCGGTGCCCAGCTGGCCATTCTTGTTTTATTTTTATTTTTAATTACTGTTATGCTGGGAGTACATTGTGACATTTACCAAAATTCTTACAATATATCATTCATCATTCTCCTTTATGTTCTAATCATTCTACATTTTGTCTTTTTGATTTTTTTTTCCCCCAGTGGTGGGGATCAAATCTAGGGCCTTATTCCTGCTAGACAAGCACTCTATTGCTGAGCTGCCCCCAGCCTGTCTCATGATTTTGGCCATTTCAAGTATTTCATATAAGTGGAATCATACAGTATTTGTCCTTTTCTGATTGACTTATTTCACTCAGTAATGTCCTCAAGATCCATCCATGTTGCTGGGTGCTGGTGGCTCACACCTGTAATCCTAGCTACTTAGGAGGCAGAGATCAGGGGGATCGAGGTTCAAAGCCAGCCCTGGAAAGCAGTTCATGAGATCCTATCTCGAAAAAACTCCATCACAAAAAGGGCTGGTGGAGTGCTCAAGTGGTAAGAGCACCTACCTAGCAAGCATGAGGCATGGAGTTCAAAATCCCAGTAATGCCGAAAAAAAAAAAAAAAGATTCATCCATGTCATATGTCAGAATATCTTTTTTTCTAGGTTGAATAATATTCTATTACATTATTTCATATTTTGCTTATTCACTCATCTATCAGTGGTCACTTGTTGCTTCTGTGATGAATATGCTTCTAGGAACACGAATGTACAAATGTCTTCTTGAGACACTGCTTCCAGTTCTTTTGGGTGTACATCCAGAAGTAGAATTGCTGAATTCTACTTTTTTTTGGTGTGGTGTTGGGATCAAACCCAGGGGCTCATGCGTGCTAATCACATGCTCTAGCCTTGAACTATATCCCCAGCCCCTCTGTTTTTAATAGTGGAGGAATGGCCGTACTGTTTTTCACAGTGGCTGCACCATCTTGCATTCCTACCAACAGTGCCCATGGGCTCCAATTTCCGAATGTCGTTGCTGGCACTTGTTGGTTTTTGGTAGTAGCACCCTCATGGGTGTGCAGTGATTTGATTTGTGTTCCCCTAATTAGTGACGTCAAGCATCTTTTTACACGCTTATCAGCCATTCTGTATCTTTGGAGAAATGTCTGTTTAGGTCTGTTGCCCATTTTTGAATCAGGGTTTTTTATTATTGTTTCCGAGTTTGGGCAGTTCTCTATATATTCTGGATATGAATCCCTTATCAGACATATGATTTGTAAATATTTTCTCCGATTCTGTGGGTTGCCTTTTTATTCTGTTGATAATTGTTTTTGTGCCTAATTTTTAAATTTTCATTAAGTCCAGTTTGTCTATTTTTTTCTTGTGCCTTTGGTGTCATATCCAAGAAATCATGGTCAAATCCAATGCATGAACCTTTTTTTTTTTTTTTCTGTTTTTTGAGATAGAGTCTCACTGTGTAGCCCACGCTGGGCTCAAACTTATGATCCTCCTGCTGAGCCTCCCACGTGCTGGGATTACAGGTGTGCCACCCTTACCTGACATGAAGCCTTTGTTCTGTTTTCCTGTAAGAGCTTCACAGTTTTAAATAGTCTTATATTTAGGTCTATGGTCCATTTTGAGTTAATTTTTGCATATGGTGTTAGATAAGGGTCCAACCCTTGGCATGGACATCTATCAGAAGGACTGCCGCTTAGGAAACGGTATTTTTTTTTTATCTCTGATCTTTTGTTTTATTAATATTATTTTATAAAACAATATTAAGAACAGAGAAAACAAGCTGGGCATAGTAGCATGCAGCTGGAATCCCAGCACTTGGGAAATAGAGCCCGGAAAATTGTGAGTTCATCAGTCTAGGCTACATAGCAAGATCAAGGCCATCTTGGGCTACATACCAAGACCCTGTCAGAGAGAGAAAGAGAGAGAGAAGAACGAGGCAATGACACTCATTTTTTCAATGTTTCTTACTTCTCAGCAATGAAAAAGTAAGTTTAAAGACAAAGGGGAAAATAAGGAAAAGCTAAATTCAGATAGCCTTTCCTTTTCTATGGCCTTAGAAGTTGCTTCTTTTTTTTTTAATTTTATTTTATTCATATGTGCATACAATGTTTGAGGAGATTTATTCATATGTGCTTACCATGTTTGAGGAGAGGGTATTTTTGAGAGACAAGTTATGAGAGTGTCAATGTGCCGATGGCAGTGATCTGTACACTGAAGAAACTGATGACGCAGGAAGAGAGGAGGCAATGTCAGGAGCAAGGACCTTGAAGGTGGATGGGGCAGGCTTCTGTTTGGGAGCAGAACATGTGTCTACTGAAGGGAGAGAGTGGGGGAATGGGGAGGTTGCTGGGTTGGTGCCAGAAAAGGGATATGTCCCCACCACATAGGGTCAGGCATGACCCTTGTCTGTTTGTCTCCAGTACCAGCGCTGACTCCCCCGCAGATCCCACCGCCACCAGCACCATCTCTTGTCCCCTTGGAGGCCACGGACAGCATGCTGGAGCTGCCACACTCACTTCTGCAGCAGACCGAGGACCAGTTCCTGTCCCCGAGCCTGGCCTGCAGCTCCCCTCTCATCAGCTTCTCCCCACCCTTGGACCAGGAGGACTACCTTTGGGGCCTGGATGGGGGTGAGGGCATCAGTGACCTCTTCGACTCCTATGACCTTGGGGACCTGTTGATTAATTGAGTAGCCCTGTCTACCCCAGCAGCCCCACCCCTGTCTCTACCTCCTCATGGACAGACTGACAGACCCTCTGCCCACACGGGGACATTGGACACAAGGTCCAATGTCTCCTCTCCTTTCCATGTTGGTAGATGTGGGTGAGGAGCATATCAGGGATGGGGTCCTGTTCTTCCACTTTTGGCCTCTGACCTCTTACATGAAGGACCACAGGTGTGCTGGGCACCAGTGGCTCATGCCTGTAATCCTAACTACTCAGGAGGCAGAGATCAGGAGGTTCGAGGTTCGAAGCCAGCCTGGAGAAATAGTTTATGAGACCCTATGTTGAAAAAAATCCTCACAAAAAGGGGGCTGGTGGATTGGCTCAAAGGGTAGGCCTTAAGTTCAAGCCCAGTATTGCAAAAAACAAAAAAAAAGAACCACAAGTGCAGGTGACCAGATTCAGGTTCAGGGACAGGCCCTGTTCCCTCCTTTTGAGGGGTAATTAGGACCCTCAATTTTTCAAGAAGCACTTAATTAACCCGTTGTATTTATTTCAGATTGAGTTTTGTTTATCCTCCCTGAGTTTTAGCAGGGAGATTGTTCTAGTCTCTAGTATGACTTCTCCTCAAGGCAGAAGGGCAGACCTGGCTTCCAGGGGCCAAAGTCAACTCCCCATCTTCCCCATGGCAGTAGGAGTTGGGTCTCTGAGGGGCTTCCAGTTTGCTAGAATGCTAATTGCACTTAGGTCTTATAATTCTAGTAGGTACCAGGCCCTTTGACCTCTCCTCCCACTCTCAGCCTGATGTTCCCTGCTGAGGTGTCAGCCTAGGCTCCTGGTCTCCTTCATCCCGGAGAAGGTTCTATCAGCCATCCTGGGGCAGATGGCAGTTTAGGAGACCCCCTTCCAATGGAGTTCCTTACCTCTCTTGCCTTAGAATGGGCAGTCCTCCAGGGTATCAGCAGAGAAGAGCTTGTGAGGAAGACAGAAATGTGGAGGTAGCTGTCATGGCTGCCGCAGGGACCTTTCCTCAGAGTTTCTGCCTTGTCCTAGTTCCAAGACCTGGGAGGCAGAGACAGAGGTCCTCCACCACAGACAAACTTGAGGTGAAAACATGAAGCACCCCCAGGAGCTGCCTCTGTTTCCCTATTTGCCATGGTTGTTGAAGGGGCTGATTCTTTAAGGACCCCCTGCTACCCCCACACACACACCTCTCATAGACCCCTAAGGACAGAGGTGATTTAAGTTTAGTGACGGATTTGCTTCTTTTGTTACTAGAATGCTGATGGAGTGACAGGTCTAAACTGCAGACCAGACCCTAACAGCTAAGGAGGAGATGAGCTGGTGTTACCTCCTCAGGTATAAGAGCCTGGGAAGTTCCTTTGGTGTTTACCCCATTCCCCCAGAGGCTGACTATCCACAGTGTCCCTGTAGCCCAACTGGGGCAGGAAGTCAGCTCTTTTCTGCCCCACCTGGGGAGTGCTCTGGGCTGAACCAAGGGCATGCCTTCTGGAGAGGGGTACCCCAGGAGGAAGGTCTGAGAGGCCTTCCACCCACCCTCAGGGAGCTAGGGTCCTGAAGGGCTCAACTAGGCAGCACTTTTTTTTTAAGTTTGTAGCATTAAGTTGATTTAAAATATGAAGTAGGCTTGGTTGGTTGAATGACTCCTAAGTTGACTGACTGGCATTTTTGAAGTTTGAGATGTGGGTTTGTTTTGGGATGGGGCCTGATATGAGTTAATGCCCAACTGGGAACCGTCATGTCTTGTCATTGATTCAGCTTCCTGGACCCCCAAGTTAGCGTCCTGCTAGGAGTGGTCAGCAGCTCATAGATATCCCCACTTTAATTTTGTATGCTTTATAGGAATGTCTTTGATCTCCCTTTCCCAAACACTCTTAAGGGGTCTCATCAAAAGTCCGCCTTGAAGTCCACCATGCCCTTGGCCCTTGGGTGGGTGGGGTGGTGTTACTGTGTGGGATCTGGTTTGGGCCAGTGGGGCATTGCTGTTTCAGGGTCTCTGCTGGGTTGCTATTTAGCCTAGTACCAACTCTGAGGACAGAGACGCTTGACCTCCATGCCTCGGGCTCTTTCTGGAGATTTTTCCCAGATTTAGATCGGAGAAAAGGGAGAAGTGACCTGCAGGACCCATCTGGAATGAATTTAATGCTAAATCTGGCTGGAATTCAAGCTTTTCCCCACCAGCTGCAGGACAGGACAGGACCTTGCTGAGCAGCTGCCTCTCACCCTTCCTAGCCTGTCCCTCCAAACCTTGCCTGTCCGAGGGGCTAGACTTCCCAGGCTAATGGGAGACAAGCATGTGCCTCTTTCTTGCCAGTGACACTTGAGACCTCCCAGGTTCTGTAGAATGCTTTAAGAACACCATTGTGAGTGGTATTTCCTTTAGGGAACCACATGAACTTTTAAACTAGAGCAGGAGAGAAGCCAGTTTCTTTTGAGGATAAATTATTTCTGCCAGGAAATTTCTCAGCCCCACTAACAGGCACCACCACCGCCGGGCGCCCCCCC